GGTATTACTGTTATACACTGTGAAAGTTACACAGTAATTGTGAGTGTGGTTTCATTGTTATACACTGTGAAAGTTACGCAGTAATTGTGAGTGTGGTATCATTGTTATACACTGTGAAAGTTACACAGTAATTGTGAGTGTGGTATCATTGTTATACACTGTAAAAGTTGCACAGTAATTGTGAGTGTGGTATTATTGTTATACATTGTAAAAGTTACACAGTAATTGTGAGTGTGGTTTCATTGTTATACACTGTGAAAGTTACACAGTAATTGTGAGTGTGGTATTATTGTTATACACTGTGAAAGTTACACAGTAATTGTGAGTGTGGTTTCATTGTTATACACTGTAAAAGTTGCACAGTAATTGTGAGTGTGGTATTATTGTTATACACTGTGAAAGTTACACAGTAATTGTGAGTGTGGTTTCATTGTTATACACTGTAAAAGTTGCACAGTAATTGTGAGTGTGGTATTATTGTTATACATTGTAAAAGTTACACAGTAATTGTGAGTGTGGTATTATTGTTATACACTGTGAAAGTTACACAGTAATTGTGAGTGTGGTTTCATTGTTATACACTGTAAAAGTTGCACAGTAATTGTGAGTGTGGTTTCATTGTTATACACTGTGAAAGTTACACAGTAATTGTGAGTGTGGTATCATTGTTATACACTGTGAAAGTTACACAGTAATTGTGAGTGTGGTATCACTGTTATACACTGTGAAAGTTACACAGTAATTGTGAGTGTGGTATCATTGTTATACATTGTGAAAGTTACACAGTAATTGTGAGTGTGGTATCATTGTTATACACTGTAAAAGTTGCACAGTAATTGTGAGTGTGGTTTCATTGTTATACATTGTGAAAGTTACACAGTAATTGTGAGTGTGGTATCATTGTTATACATTGTGAAAGTTACACAGTAATTGTGAGTGTGGTATTATTGTTATACACTGTGAAAGTTACACAGTAATTGTGAGTGTGGTATCATTGTTATACACTGTGAAAGTTACACAGTAATTGTGAGTGTGGTATTATTGTTATACACTGTGAAAGTTACACAGTAATTGTGAGTGTGGTATTATTGTTATACACTGTGAAAGTTGCACAGTAATTGTGAGTGTGGTATTATTGTTATACATTGTAAAAGTTACACAGTAGATACATTAGTAATTTGAAGGCTATAACTTGTGGCACTGTATAAGTCAGATACATAATGTTTTTAAACCGATAGATGAAACTGCTAAAAAAAAAAAATAATTTTAAATTAAAAACAAAAACACCAAAGAAGGGAAGAAAAGGAGAGAGAGGAGAATAAAAACACTGCACAAAGAGGGGGGAGTGGGTTCCATTGATGAACCCCATGCACTATTTTTGCAACAGTACCAAGTTCACAGGCAGCTATTGTTAAATTTTTCTCCTGTAGTGTGAAACTCCAATAGTTTCAATATTCTATGTGAATAAGACCACCCAACTCACCTGATTATCTTACTAGAATAGTCCAAAAAAACACAAAGGCCATAGTGGACCATACTAACACAGACAGGATTATTCACAAACGGAAGAATTGTCGGGAACTCAAAGTGAATTTCAAATTTAGAATTTGAATTTAGTGCCTACAGGAACGTGACATGTAAATCCGGCCCTGCTCTGATGAAAGCACATTTGTCACAACCTTATTGACTGTCTCACAGGGTTGTTCGTCACCCTGTCTGTTTGCTGGGCTCACATGCAGCCCTCCAGTCACGTCCTCTCAAAACCCAATTTCACAGCTCCTATTAGTTGTTTATTGAGGATTAGGCAACACAAATATGTTTTGGGTTTTCTTTGTCAGCGCTGAACAGATTTAAATGAAAACAGCCAAGCTGGATAACATGTCGGCCTAAAATTTTAAATTACCAGTACATTTCTAACTGTGAAAGTGTGGTGGATGCAGAGAAGAAACTCCCAGCAGAGATGGTGCGAGCAGCAAACGATGAAGGGATATAACATTTGAATATAAGTGTAATAGGCACAGGTTGCTCGGGTTGCACTTAGAGAATAACCAGACTAGATGATACAGTATGTTCTTATTTGCTGTCAAACTCTGTTTCCATGGTGATTTTTCTACATTTAGCGCTTTGCCCCTGCTTTTTATAAATATATGTGCCTCCGTTTCTATGACGGATTGGCAAGGTGACTGGGCAGAGAATGCTGTGACATAAAAACACAGCTCTTCTCCATGACAACTATTAGTCGCAGACTGTGGGGTTTATGCACTAAACAAAGAATTGTAGATAATTGAGAGAGTTGGAGGTTTGTTTTCCATTTTGGATGTTAGCTTTGAAATTCACCATCAGTTCTCCGCATTCCCAGTTTATTGAATACATGAAACTGTAGGCTTCTCTGAGAAAATGACTAATCCTGAAAGGGACTGGCGATCTCGGACACCAAGCACCCGGGTGCATTTAGGAGAATGAATGGAATTGATAAAGCTTTTTATTCATTGGAGCAATATATTTTATAAATGCTCTCCCCATGGGGCTAGTGGCACACTCTAACCGGGGGATTTACTATAATGAGAATCCAAAATCAAATTCAACGTGACTTTTAAATCGAAGATCAAAGTAGCCATACTGGAACAATTCTTTGTCCGCTATGCTTTCACTTCAGCTACTTTGAACTCTCATTTAGTAAACAGCCATGTAAGACATCAGATTATTAGATGCTGCCATTCCCCAACTAAATGGTACTTGTTTCATAGACTTCTGCAGTTGCAGCATAAACTAACGGAACCTTTGACCAGTATAAGAACAGTCATATCTTTTCACACAAACTCATAGTTAACTAAATGTTGGCTAAATATTGTGCGTTTAATTGTTATTTTCAATCACCATATTATTAAATTACAATCCATGTAAATTTGGTCTTGGCAAGCATGCCCCCTGGACTCAGTCAAGCAGGAAATAAACCCACATTGATGATGAGGATAGGATTGATGAACATCTAAAAACACATGGATTTCAAGATCAGAGACAACATGGGTTTACTTCAGGGAGATCATGCCAAACTAATCTTATTGATTTTTTTGATTGGGTAACTAAAATTATAGATCAAGGTGGTGCAGTAGACATTGCTTACCTAGATTTCAGTAAGGCTTTTGACACTGTTGCACATAGAAGGCTTATCAATAAACTGCAATCTTTAAGTTTGGATTCCAATATTGTTGAATGGGTAAGGCAGTGGCTGAGTGACAGGCAACACAGGGTTGTAGTTAATGGAATATATTCGAAGCTTGGACTTGTCACCAGTGGGGTACCTCAGGGATCTGTACTTGGACCCATTCTCTTTAATATTTTTATTAGTGATATTGCAGAAGGTCTTGATGGTAAGGTATGTCTTTTTGCTGATGATACTAAGATATGTAACAGGGTTGATGTTCCAGGAGGGATAAGCCAAATGACAAATGATTTAGGTAAACTAGAAAAATGGTCAGAATTGTGGCAACTGACATTTAATGTGGATAAGTGCAAGATAATGCATCTTGGACGTAAAAACCCAAGGGCAAAGTACAGAATATTTGATAGAGTCCTAACCTCAACATATGAGGAAAGGGATTTAGGGGTGATTATTTCTGATGACTTAAAGGTAGGCAGACAATGTAATAGAGCAGCAGGAAATGCTAGCAGAATGCTTGGTTGTATAGGGAGAGGTATTAGCAGTAGAAAGAGGGAAGTGCTCATGCCATTGTACAGAACACTGGTGAGACCTCACTTGGAGTATTGTACACAGTACTGGAGACCGTATCTTCAGAAGGATATTGATACCTTAGAGAGGGTTCAGAGAAGGGCTACTAAACTGGTTCATGGATTGCAGGATAAAACTTACCAGGAAAGGTTAAAGGATCTTAACATGTATAGCTTGGAGGAAAGACGAGACAGGGGGGATATGATAGAAACATTTAAATATATAAAGGGAATCAACACAGTAAAGGAGGAGACTATATTTAAAAGAAGAAAAACTACCACAACAAGAGGACATAGTCTTAAATTAGAGGACAAAGGTTTAAAAATAATATCAGGAAGTATTACTTTACTGAGAGGGTAGTGGATGCATGGAATAGCCTTCCAGCTGAAGTGGTAGAGGTTAACACAGTAAAGGAGTTTAAGCATGCGTGGGATAGGCATAAGGCTATCCTAACTATAAGATAAGACTAGGGACTAATGAAAGTATTTAGAAAATTGGGCAGACTCGATGGGCCGAATGGTTCTTATCTGCCGTCACATTCTATGTTTCTATGTTTCTATGAGAACTCTGCTCAGCACCGAATGGATCTACAATGATCAGAATGAATGTTCTGATTGACAGCATGTCACTGCCATTGGACGTCAAGTCCCGAAATATGGAATTCTCCCAGTTATACCAATCTGCTGCATGTGAGTCAAGTTATCTCAAGGTATATCATCCTGGCACACCCTAAGACTTGTTTGTTACCAGATTTAACTGTTCAAGGAAGAGGCAGTGATTTTAGGGACCATAATAATCTGTGGATTTAAAAAGTGGTAATGGTCCATGCGAGGAAAAATACAGATCTTGATTTAATATACTGCTAAACCTAATATATAAATCAAGGAACAAATTGTGTCTCATTTGCAAACATATTCATAAAATAATGAGAAAAGATACGTAGCATGGAGACTGAAGAGCAACACTGCCCCCTTCTGGACATTTACAGGAATAACCACATTGTTGCAGGGGGTGGATAATGAAAGCTCCATGAGATCTCTCCCAGAATCCTTTGTGTTCATGCCAGAGTGGTGTGGAGGAGAGGGGAGGGGGTTGCAGTGACGCAATGCAGAGCATGCTCTGCTGTGTAAAGGGTTACAAGGGGAGGAAGAGGAAGAGGTGGAGCAGAGAAGGCAGCAGATAGGTGAGACAGACAGTATCATCTGCACACACCAACCTTTATTTACCCCTGTTCTACCCACACATATCAAACTGAGCAGCCAATGACACAAGCAGTTCTCCTTGGACACAGTATCCTGGGAATATTGATACATAGTGTAACAGTTCCAGACTGTTCACCCTATAACCCCCTGCACACACTCACAGCAAGCTTTCTTGGAGACTCCCCTCCCTAAATTCTGTGTTAGCACTAACTCTTTACACCCACTGCCCCATACTGGACAAGCACAGGGGGACTGGGAGCACTGTGTACCTGGACACTACATGCAGGGGGCACACGGTGTACCTGGACACTACATGCAGGGGGCACACAGTGTACCTGGACACTACATGCAGGGGGCACACTGTGTACCTGGACTCTACATGCAGAGGGAGCACGGTGTACCTGGACACTACATGCAGGGGGCACACAGTGTACCTGGACACTACATGCAGGGGGCACACTGTGTACCTGGACTCTACATGCAGAGGGAGCACGGTGTACCTGGACACTACATGCAGGGGGAGCACTGTGTTACTGGACACTACATGCAGGGGGAGCACTGTGTATCTGGACACTACATGCAGGGGGAGTGCTGTGTACCTGGACTCTACATGCAGAGGCAGCACTGTGTACCTGGACACTACATGCAGGGGGAGCACTGTGTACCTGGACACTACATGCAGGGGGAGCACTGTGTTACTGGACACTACATGCAGGGGGAGCGCTGTGTACCTGGACACTACATTCAGGGGGAGCACTGTGTTACTGGACACTACATGCAGGGGGAGCGCTGTGTTACTGTTCACTACATGCAGGGGGAGTGCTGTGTACCTGGACTCTACATGCAGGGGAGCACTGTGTACCTGGACACTACATGCAGGGGGAACATGTGTACCTGGATACTGCATGCAGGGGGAGCACTGTGTACCTGGACACTACATGCAGGGGGAGCACGGTGTTACTGGACACTACATGCAGGGGGAGCACTGTGTACCTTGACACTACATGCAGGGGGAGCACTGTGTATCTGGACACTACATGCAGGGGGAGCACTGTGTACCTGGACACTACATGCAGGGGAGCACTGTGTATCTGGACACCTCATGGAGGGGGAGCACTGTGTCACTGGACACTACATGCAGGGGGAGCACTGTGTATCTGGACACTACATGCAGAGGGAGCACTGTGTACCTGGACACTACATGCAGGGGGAGCACTGTGTACCTGGACACTACATGCAGGGAGAGCACTGTGTATCTGAACACCTCATGGAGGGGGAGCACTGTGTATCTGGACACCTCATGGAGGGGGAGCACTGTGTCACTGGACACTACATGCAGGGGAAGCACTGTGTACCTGGACACTACATGCAGGGGGAGCACTGTGTTACTGGACACTACGTGCAGGGGGAGCGCTGTGTACCTGGAAAATACATGCAGGTCGAGCACTGTGTCACTGGACACTACATGCAGGGGGAGCGCTGTTTACCTGAAACATACGTGCAGGGGGAACGCTGTGTACCTGGAAAATACATGCAGGTCGAGCACTGTGTCACTGGACAATACGTGCAAGGGGAGCGCTGTGTACCTGAAAAATACGTGCAGGGGGAGCGCTGTGTACCTGGAAAATACATGCAGGTTGCGCACTGTGTCACTGGACACTACATGCAGGGGGAGCACTGTGTATCTGGACACTACATGCAGGGAGAACACTGTGTTCCTGGACACTACGTGCATGGGGAAGCACTGTGTCACTGGACACTACATGCAGGGGGAGCACTGTGTCACTGGACACTACATGCAGGGGGAGAACTATGTACCTTGACACTACATGCAGGGGGAGCACTGTGTACCTAAACACTACATGCAGGGGGAGCACTGTGTTACTGGACACTACGTGCAGGGGGAGCGCTGTGTGCCTGAAAAATATGTGCAGGGGGAGCACTGTGTATCTGGACACTACATGCAGAGGGAGCACTGTGTACCTAGACACTACATGCAGGGGGGGCACTGTGTACCTAGACACTACATGCAGGGGGAGCGCTGTGTACCTGAAAAATACATGCAGGGGGAGCGCTGTGTACCTGAAAAATACATGCAGGGGGAGCACTGTGTATCTGGACACTACATGCAGGGGGAACACTGTGTACCTGGACACTACATGCATGGGGGAGCACTGTATCACTGGATACTACATGCAGGAGGAGCACCGTGTACCTGGACACTACATGCAGGGGGAGCACTGTGTACCTGGACACTACATGCAGGGGGAGCACTGTGTACCTAGACACTACATGCAGGGGGAGCACTGTGTACCTAGACACTACATGCAGGGGGAGCACTGTGTACCTGGACACTACATGCAGGAGGAGCACTGTGTGCCTGGACACTACATGCAGGGGGAGCACGGTGTACCTGGATACTACCAGGACACCACATGCAGGAGGAGCACTGTGTACCTGGACACTACATGCAGGAGGAGCACTGTGTACCTGGACACTACATGCAGGGGGAGCACTGTGTACCTGGACACTACATGCAGGGTCACCATACTAACTAGGGAGCCCCCGGAATACCGGGGGGGACAGCATTCTGTATTTTGCTCATACACACGCTTATTACTGAGCCAATACACCATATATTATACATAGTTCCATACATCCTAACGTGTTCACAGCAACTGCTTTCATCCAATGTCCTGTTCTTATCAATATATGCAGTGCTATTCACTGTACAGTACTAATGTGCTAATAATTGCTATATTCACACAATATCCTGCTCTAACTCCTTGCAATGAATCCTGTGATAATCACTACTACATTCCCACCCCATCCTGCGTTAATCACTACTACATTTCCACAGTATTCTGCACTAATCCCTACTACATTCTTACAGCATCCTGCACTAATCACTACTACATTTTTACAGCATCCTGTGTTAATCACTACTACATTCCAACCCCATCCTGCATTAATCACTAGTACATTCCCACAGCATTCTGCGCTAATCACTACTACATTCCTACAGCATCCTGCGCTAATCACTACTACATTCCCACCCCATCCTGCACTAATCACTACTACATTCCCACCTCATCCTGCGCTAATCACTTCTACATTCCTACAGCATCCTGTGCTAATCACTACTACATTCCTACAGCACCCTGTGCTTGTCACTACTAAATTCCCACAGCATCCTGCACTAATCACTACTACATTCTTACTGCATCCTGTGCTAATCACTACTACATTCCCACCCCATCCTGCGCTAATCACTACTACATTCCCACAGCATCCTGCGCTAATCACTACTAAATTCCCCCAGCATTCTGCGCTAGTCACTACTAAATTCCCACAGCATCCTGCGCTTATCACTACTACATCCCTACAGCATCCTGTGCTAATCACTACTACATTCCCTTAGCATTCTGTGCTAATCACTACTACATTCCCATAGCATCTTGCGCTAATCACTACTACATTCCCACCCCATCCTGTGCTAATCACTACTACGTTCCCATAGCATCCTGCGCTAATCACTACTACATTCCCATAGCATACTGCGCTAATCACTACTACATTCCCACCCCATCTTGCGCCAATCACTACTTCATTTTCCACCCTATCCTGCGGTAATCACTACTACATGCCCATAGCATCCTGCGCTAATCACTACTACATTTCCACAGCATTCTGCGCTACTCACTACTACATTCCCACAGCATCCTGTGCTAACCCCTACTACATTCCCACAGCATCCTGTGCAACTCACTACTACATTTCCACAGCATCCTGTGCTAATCCCTACTACATTCCCACAGTATCCTGTGCAAATCACTACTACATTTCCACAGCATCCTGTGCAAATCACTACTACATTCCTACAGCATCCTGCGCTAATCACTACTACATTCCCACAACATCCTGCACTAATCACTACTACATTCCTACAGCATCCTGTGCTAATCACTACTACATTACTAAGTCATCCTGTGCTAATCACTACTACATTCCCACCCCATCCTATGCTAATCACTACTACATTCTTATTGCATCCTGTGCTAATCACTGCTACATTCCCACAGCATACAGCGGTAAACACTACTACATTCCCACCCCATCCTGCGCTAATCACTAATACATTCTTACTGCATCCTGCGCTAATCACTACTACATCCCCACAGCATCTTGCGCTAATCACTACTACATTCCCTTAGCATCCTGCACTAATCACTACTACATTGCCTTAGCATCCTGCGCTAATCACTACTACATTCCCATAGCATCCTGCGTTAATCACTACTACATTCCCATAGCATCCTGCGCTAATCACTTCTACATTCCCACCCCATCCTGCGCTAATCACTACTACATTCCCACCCCATCCTGCGCTAATCACTACTTCATTTCCCACCCCATCCTGCGGTTATCACTAATACATGCCCATAGCATCCTCCGCTAATCACTACTACATTTCCACAGTATTCTGCGCTACTCACTACTACATTCCCACAGCATCCTGCACTAATCACTACTACATTCCCACAGCATACTGTGCTAATCCCTACTACATCCCCACAGTATCATGTGCAAATCACTACTACATTCTACACTAATTCCTGAGCTACTTACTAACACATTTCCACAATAATCTGAACTAACTCCTGCCGTGCCCTTCTGTGCTATTCACGGTTAGCACTGTACCCTGTGCTAATCACTACTGCATTCCCCCCACATCCTGTACTAACCATTCCATGCACTGTATCCTATGCAAATTACACTTTAATTCCCACCACATTCTACACTGCACCTTTTGCTAATCACTACTCCATCCCCGCCGCACTCTGTACGATCACCTCCCTTTAGTGAATTAAGCTAATCACTGCTACATCCCTGCAGCATTCTGCAATGCCAATTGCTCCTCGTGTCTCTGTCCCACTTGCTTATTGCACTGTTTTGTACGCCAGTTTCTACCAGCACAGTATCGTAAGGCTTAAATTAACTCTCAACCGTGAAGCTTGTTCAATCCTTAGGGTCACAGACAAAAAATTAAAGGCAATCTCTACTCATTCTTCTGAGATCAATAAAATATGTACCATTAAGTTTGGTAATAGCAACATCCACTTCAATAGTCTTTCATCCTTTTAATGAAAGTTAAATGGTCAGGACTATCTAATGCTTTCCTACACACAGTACTCACTTTGGTAATCAGTGTATGCACACACAGCACCTTAATGAAGCCAACCCTACATGCGCATTACACAAACATCTTCTACTCAATCTCTACATATGGAGTATCCTGCACTGTACGCCTTCTTTAATCACACATACACTGCTAACAACACTGATACACTTACATGGCACCCTGTGCAAAGGAGAGTTTGATTTGACTGCCATCTGCAGCCACACAATACCCAGTACTAATCACACATACACTAATACCCTGAGCACCCACAAAACACCCAGTACTAATCACACATACACCCAGTACTAATCACACATGGAACTGTATTAATTACACTTACCATCACTAAGTACCAAAACAGTGCCTTGTGCCAATTACACACAATTACCACCCCTCAGCATTCATGCTGTGCCCCGTACAATTACACATACACTTACCACCTATTCAGTACTCCAGAGAGTCCTGTACTCTGAATAGTTACACTTCTACTTGCCACCCCTCAGCACCCTTTACAAAATAAATATAAACGTAGCACCCTCAGCACCCTGTCCAAACTAAATATACACTTACCACCACTCAGCACCCAGTACCAATTAAACATACTCTTACCACCACTCAGCAGCCAGTACCAATTAAGCATACACTTACCACCACTCAGCACCCTGTACCAATTAAACATACAATTACTCAGCACCCTGTACCAATTAAACATACACTTACAATTACTCAGCACCCTGTACCAATTAAACATACACTTAATTACTCAGCACCCTGCACCAATTAAACATAGACTTACCACCACTCAGCACCAATTAAACATAGACTTACCACCACTCAGCACCCTGTACCAATTAAACATACACTTACAACTACTCAGCACCCTGCACCAATTAAACATAGACTTACCACCACTCAGCACTCTGTTCCAATTAAATTTAGACTTACCACCACCCAGCACTCTGAACCAATTAAACATAGACTTACCACCACTCAGCACCCTGTACCAATTAAACATAGACTTACCACCACTCAGTACCCTGTACCAATTAAACATACACTTACCACCACTCAGCACCCTGTACCAATTAAACATACACTTACCACCACTCAGCACCCTGTACCAATTAAACATACACTTACCACCACTCAGCACCCTGTACCAATTAAACATACACTTACCACCACTCAGCATCCTGTACCAATTAAACATAGACTTACCACCACTCAGCACCCTGTACCAATTAAACATAGACTTACCACCACTCAGCACCCTGTACCAATTAAACATACACTTACCACCACTCAGCACCCTGTACCAATTAAACATACACTTACCACCACTCAGCACCCTGTACCAATTAAACATAGACTTACCACCACTCAGCACCCTGTACCAATTAAACATACACTTACCACCACTCAGCACCCTGTACCAATTAAACATACTCTTACCACCCCTCTGCACCTTAAATTGTCCTGTACTCTGTAGTAATTACAATTATGTTTGCCACCCCTCTGTACCCAATACCAATTATACATTCTTGTCACCCCTCAGCAGCCAAGTCAATTACACATCGACCTGTATTCTGTAGTAATTACATGCACTCACTCTCCAAGTACTACACATACTACATTCTATACTGGTAATTTTGATACACACATAGCATTGTGTGCCATTCACAGTACCAACATCTCTTTTTTAACATGGTCTATTTCTTTCTAAGGAAATTAATTTAGAAATGCTTAAATACCCTTTCATGTAAAACCAGATGTTTGGTCCATTAATACATGTTGTCATTACTTATTTGTACTCATGTATTTGAACCATTGGATTTACAAGGGATCTGCAGTTTGTAAATGAATCAACTGAGCTATCTTGTCACCCTCGACATATGTACTTGCCATCCTGTAGAGCATAGTGACCAAAAGGTAGATCCCCATATGTTTTAAAACGACAGTTTCCATCACAAAGGCACGCAAAGCATCATGGGAGTTGTAGTTCTACAACATCTGGAGATCTACCATTTGGGTACCTCTGCTATAGAGTAATTAAGATCCTGCTTTCGCTAGCCAATGTTTCCTTGTTTTTCCTTCTTAATTTGTTTATTGCAGGAATAGTGGGGGCCCCGCCATGTCCGGTGACACAGAGGAGGTCACACGCCTGCGCAAACCCCGTTTCTCCTATGAAGAGAACCAAATACTTATACGAGAGGTGCGAGCTCACTATCCCCTGCTTTACGGGGCACAGAGCAGGAGACTCAGTGTGTCAGAGAGGCGCCGTGTATGGGAGGGCATTGCCGCTCAGATTAACGCTATTACCAGCTGGAAACGCACAGCCCAAGAGGTCCAGAAACGCTGGAACGATTTCAAGAGGCGGACCAAAGAAAAGCTAGCTCGTGTTCCCCACTCCACCCAGAGCGGGACAGCAGAGGACTCGCTAACTGCTGAAGAGGAGACGATATTCGCCATCTTGGGTCCCGGGGTGATGGCTGGGAGAGGCCACTATAGCTCTGCCACACGGCTGGGGGCAATGGGTGAGCCTCCAATACATCACAGTATACAGTATAAATTGCTTTGTATAGGAACTGGCATATTAACTTTACTATATACAAGGCGCTATGTAGCCTCACTTGGGGTTCATTTCGCAGGTGAAATATGGTAAAAAAAAAACCTAATTTCATACATTTTAGAGTTCACAGGTCACTGTTTGGTAGATAACCCCCTTTTTAAGGTATGATTACTTCTCTACTTAACCCATAACCACTGAAAGCTAGGTAATGGCAGGCACTCGGGTGTCCTAACTAGCAATAAAGCAGTAGCTCAGTAACTACATTGATAGAGGTTTCTTTTTATCTGTCTCTTGTCAGGTAGACACAAAGTCATAAAACAAGGTGTCCTCTGTCTAATACAATGTACTAGGAGGGAGCAGATAAGACATCTGATCCACACTTAGCAACCATGCAGTAATGGTGTCTCCCATTTTATACTCAGGAGATGAACATTAATTGGTGTGTGGTCTTACCTAATTCATCTAAATATAATGTGATGGGTTTAGGGCAGGGGTAGGCAACGTTCGACAATACAAACGTTGTGGACTACAACCATAGAACCTGGTAGTCTTCAACATTTGGAGTATCAAAGGTTGCGTACCACTGGTTTAGAGGATGACCCACATGATATGACCATAGCCAGAGAAAGACAAGTTGTTGTTTTAGAAGTGCAGACAGAGCGAAAACCAATTTAGAAAAATTGTAGGCAACGTAGTGACCTGTTAATGGAGCCGCTGATGATACTTCACCAGGATTTAGAGATGGGTTGTGAAGACATGGGGGGGCGGAGAGAATACTGCAACCAAGATGGTGAATGGACAGAGTAAGAGTGATCATGTATATTATATAAAAAAAGATATAATAATAGTATGAAACACTAAGAGTAAAACAGAAGTAGGACTGTGTATTGTAGTGTGGTAAGGATAAGTAGGATGAAGAAATGCACTTACATTTTACTTGAGCTTGAAATATGCTCCAATTCGTGTGCTTGAGAAGATTAATCCCTACTTATGGATGGGAGGTGTATTTCTTGATCCAAGCTTGCTATCTCATGGAATATGTAATGAGTCAAACAGAAAATAGAAAAGCACCCATATAGTGTAGTATATTAGTTGGCTTAATATCCATAAGTAGACATGAAATGTACTCTCATGACCTAGAGTCTCTGACTGGCTCTAGTAAATCAGCATAGAGTGGTATAATTCCCCACTCTTGTATATAGACTTGGCTGGCATCCTCTCTGTAAGAGCATATAAAACAGAAAACAGGAGAACATAGATGTTATTTGAGCTCTCTGATGTAGCTCTGTGCTCAGTATCCTTCAGAAAGGTAAAAGCTGGAATAGATGTTATAAAGGATCCACAAAAAAAAATGAAAATGGGTAAAATGTGCATATCCTAAAACTGTGGTGTATGACAGTCAGATAGGAGTTACTGTGGCCAATAAAGAATCATGCTAGTGACACAACACATGTCAATGTCACTGGATGGAAGGCACGGTCTAGAAAATTAGTGCCAGCTAACAATGATGTGCAGCCTTTGCTAGGAGTACTTCTTGTTTGGTGAGACACACGCTCCATTAAATGAGATCGCTCAGGGTACACTGGACTATCACTGGTGTCCTGACATGTAGAACATTAAAGAAAAATGTGTGTCAGGGCTGGGGGCTTTCTCAACCAAATTATGTATTTATTCATCTTTTTTCTTTATTTTATAACCATACAGATTTCCATCCATTGGGCCCAGGATCCTCCAGTGCTGAAAATTCACTCAGTGGCCCATTCTGCTCCCCTGAGGCTCCTATTCTGCTGCACCCGAAGGATTCACCTTCCCCAACGTCTCAGCTTAACATTGTCCAGTTGCCCCACATGACTCCTACATCCGACCGATCTGAAGGGCATTCACCACCACCTCAAGGATCAGGATCACCAATGCTTTCCCCCAATGGGATAACCCCACACTTTGATCCAGCTGTTGCTATGCTAAGGGCTCAACAGGAGACAGCTGACGCAATACGGCACCTTACTTACACCCTACGTCAAAGTATGGACCGTTTGACCAATGTCCTTGCAGCCATTTTACCACTGGTGCCAACGTCACCTCCTCCTTCAGGGGTTATTCCTTCAACCTATTTTCCAACAAAGACGGAGCCTGAGGCTGAGCCGTGTGACCCTGTGAGTTATGAAGACGATGAGGAGGAGGAGGAAGGAGAGGCTAATGAGAGAGGCGAAGCTGGTGAGGAAGAGACCAAGGAAGATACAGCAGAGCCACCCCGTTCCCCTTCCCCACCACCTCCTAACAAGAGAAAAAGATTTGGGTACCTGACTCCACGTAAGAGAAGAGGACGATGGAAAAACATTTAGGAGCTATTCGTCCTTTTGCCTTGCCTCTTATTTTATATACATTTTTTCCCATTTAATTTTTTTTTTTTTTCGCCTCAAAAAGCTTGAGGGCGGCCAATTTAAACTAACACCTAGCAGTAAGTCAGATGCATTTAAGATTCTCTAAGCCTTCAGGACTTCGTCCCCCCTCGTTTATCATTCATCCGAACTGCAATCTCTTTCTGCCTCTTCAGACATCCATGAGAAGCTAAATAAACAACTGGAGAACAAACTGCTAGCTGCACAGAGCAAAAGTGGAACTGTTAGAAACTAATTTCATAGAATTATAAATCTCATAGCTCTCTCTCCTACACGTCACGCTTTTACTCTAATTCCAAAACCAAAAAGTTGTAGGTCTAGTTATTTTAGTAATATTTATTCGTTTTTTTTTGTTTAATGAAACAATGAATTTGACACAAGAAATGTAAAATAGAAGCCAAAATAGGGACTGGTAAACATGTGTTCTGCCAACTATGTATAGCCTTAAAGTTTGAAATTATCTGGTCAACTTAAACGTTCTCTGCAACCTGTATGGGCCCCCCTAAATTCTTAAAGTGTGTGTCACAAATAACGTTAAAGGACCACTATAGTGCCAGGAAAACATACTAGTTTTCCTGGCACTATAGTGCCCTGAGGGTGCCCCCACCCTCAGGGACCCCCTCCCACCCGGCTCTGGAAGGGGGAAAGGGGTAAAAAGTTACCTTTTTCCAGCGCTGGGTGGGGAGCTCTCCTCCTCCTGGTCGGCTGAATGCGCACGCACGACAAGAGCTGCGCGCGCATTCAGCCGGTCGCATAGGAAAGCATTATCAATGCTTTCCTATGGACGCTTGCATGCTCTCACTGTGATTTTCACAGTGAGAAGCACGCAAGTGCCTCTAGCAGCTGTCAATGAGACAGCCTCTAGAGGCTTTGGGGGAAGGCTTAACCCATTCATAAACATAGCAGTTTCTCTGAAACTACTATGTTTATAAAAAAAATGGGTTAATCCTAGCTGGACCAGGCACCCAGACCACTTCATTAAGCTGAAGTGGTCTGGGTGCCTAGAGTGGTCCTTTAAGCTAGTAAAAGGTATTTTGGGACTAGCAGTCCAAGAAACAGCTGGAAAGCCCCAAACAAACACCAAGGCTTTTTGCCCACTGCCCTTAATGCCTCTTCCCTCTAAGTGTTTGAGTCTTTTCTTTCATTCTCCTCCTGTACCTTATTTTGGAGTCAATACCACAGTTGCTACTTGAAGGGTTTAAATATCCAAACTGGGTGTTTGGGGAATTAACGACCAACATGCAAAGCATTATAGCCAAAACACTTTACAAATTGGCTATTAGCGCCAGGATTTCCCAGCTCAATTGTTAATCATATTCACTGTAGAATGTATAACCTCCACAGACCCGTATATATATATATATATATATATAAAAAATGAATCCTGGATCAAAGTTCTAAAGGTGGAGAGTTAGTGGAACACAGTAAAATGTTTCTCCCTATTGCTCCATTTTTAGAACTTTGCCTCATATTGTGCTTTAAATATGTAGTCCATTGTCCTTGACTGTGTTAGGTCCCACAGGGTTATTCAAAATATATTTCACATTTAAGATCAAAATAGCCAAATTGTTGTTGAAGAAAATAAGGCACGTGAAACAACTGGTCCAAAATAAAAAGGTTATTATTGAACAATGAAGCAGGATTGCAAAACCAAGTGACAGAGTTTTAGCACTTTCAAGTAATTCAGCTGGCGCGCACTACAATCAGATAAAACAGTGTTTTTTATACTTTTTGAAGATGTGTTTTAACCAATCCAAGTATCTGCACGTTCTCCAACTCTGAGTTTCTTTATCTCGGCCTCGCAGGTCTTGGGTAGCTGAATTAGCATTTGAGAGTAAATTTGTGCACGCAAACAGAATAGATCAGGCTTCCTCAAACTCCAGCCCTCCAGATGTTGCTGAACTACAACTCCCATGATTCTATGAATTAAATAGATAGGCTGAGAATCATGGGAGTTGTAGTTCAGCAACATTTGGAGGGCCGGAGTTTGAGGAAGCCTGGAATAGATGAACAAAGCAGAAACACTTTTGTTTGATGTGGCTTTTAAGCATCAATTTGATATTAAGCACAGGGCTAAGATATGGGCAGTTCATATTTTCTTTAACATTGTAAACATTTTCTAAGTCAGGTAAGCTTTCAGTATGGCTGCAATGGCATTCAATTTGTAATTCACTTTGAATTCTCACTTGTGTGAGCAACTCTGCAATCCTTAAAAAAAAATAACCAAAAAAAAAAAGTGGTTTGAACATTTATAGGAAAAAGCCAGTAAAAGGACACCGCAAAAAATCTAGGAGATTCATAGCTGACAGTCCAATCGTGGATCTCCCAGTTCTAGACAAATTACATGAGATATTTAGCTCTTATTTGCAATCCCATTCCTTACTTTTCAGATCCCTGGTATTGTTTTCTCCGCATACATATTGAATCTCATTCAAAGCAATATATTTGTATATAGAACCGTATCCACGCACTGTAGATAGCATCAACCTCCTCTTTACGTTAATTAGGCACATGGTAATTAATGTGGGAGCATTAATTATGTATGTAAATAACTGCATATTAAAAGAAGCTGATTCATAACATGTCGTGTTGATTAAATTGCACAGGCTTGGGAAACCGCCCACCTCTATTACGGTTATATAGAAATACAGGGGCTTGAGCGAGTGTCTCTCCGGCAGCTAAAGGGTTCTAGACAGACAATCTCATTCTTCCTAATACAGAGGATGTCTCCTGCTCTCCTCCTGCTAGAAAGAATTGCACATAGGTTTTGGACAGATTCAGGAGAATTAAGGTGGTAAAGTGGCTAACTCCAAGGTGAGTCCCTTTTCTGAGTCATAATGAGATAGGACCTGATAAGAACTTTAGGTGCCACGGAGAAAGATAGTGTACAGACAGTATAGGAGAGTACCGGTGTCTAGCCCTGTATTCCTTAGTACAGTAGAGCGAAGGTAAGTAAGAGAGTCCATCTCCCCTAGTACAGAATATCAAAACCAGTTTTTCCCTATTCTAAGATAGTACAAGTATCTATGTTCCCTAGTGTATAGGAGAGTACTGGAACCTTTGTTCCCCTACTACAGGAGAGTACCAGAACCTATCATTCCCAAGTATGCAAGAGTATCAGAACCTTTAAATCCCTAGAATAACTGAGTACTGGTATCTGTGTTCCCCTAGTATATCAGCGTACCTCAACCTATATTCTCCCTGTGTAGAAAGCACAAGAACCTGTATTGGCTAGTGTAGAAGAATACTGGATCCTGTGTTTGTTAACATATCACAATATGCATTTGTGTTTGCACTGAATTACAAGGCTCCAGGATTTGACATGATAACCCGGTGCAGGTGTTAGAGGGGATGGCGTTCCGGGAAGGGAATAACAGATTTTATATTGTCTCCAAAAAGACCACCAGAGTCATGATCCCTGTGCTTTTCCTCTTTAGCACCAATCCCCCTGCCTGATGTAAAAATTTCACTTTATTCAAATGCATAGAGTCTGTATTAGAGTGTAAAATTGTTTCATACAGCAAATTGTGAAGATGGATATTTTAAACCAATGTCACTTATGATACCAGATCTCAATACTAAGTCACATCGAAAATTCCTGATTTTCTGAATAAACCTTACGGGGTGTATTTACTAAACATCAAATTGCAGTAAGTTGAAAAGCAAATTGCAAAATGAGCGCAACAATAGCCGATTTGAAAGAAATTCTTAAATTCACTGTTTAGCAATTTTTAGCCTGAATTTTGCAATGCATGATCAAAATACAAAGGTATGACCATGGCTGATTCCAATAAAAACTACAAAGAAATTAATGCTGTATGGAAAGAGAATAGTAAAAGCAGAGGAAGGGGAAGAAGGGAAAATAGAGGGGGCATTCATGAAGGAGTTATGAAATCAACCATCATGGAACCAAGATGTGGACGTGAATGATGCTCATCTTGGAAGTGGGAGAGCCAGCCAGCGTAGGTCATTATATACAAGCAATTCAACAACTCACAGCGCCCATTCCTTTAAAGAAGGAAGTGTGTTTGGATTTTCAAAGCAGCAGAATTAGAGAAGACACATGTGAGAGCCAATGTTTTGTTAAGGAATAGTGATGTCCCGAACGGTTCGCCACGGACGGCGAACATATGCGCTGTTCGGTCCGCCCCCTATGTCATCATTGAGTAAACTTTGACCATGTACCTCACAGTCAGCAGACACATTCCAGCCAATCAGCAGCAGACCCTCCCTCCCAGACCCTCCCACCTCCTGGACAGCATCCATGTTTACATTAATTGTAGTGAGCTGTCCAGGAGGTGGGAGGGTCTGGGAGGGAGGGTCTGCTGCTGATTGGCTGGAATGTGTCTGCTGACTGTGAGGTACAGGGTCAAAGTTTAGCCAATGATGACGAATAGAGGGCGGACCGAACCGCGCATATGTTCGCCATCCGTGGCGAACCGTTCGGGACATCACTATTAAGGAATACTTATAGGAGGATACCAAAGGTGAGCTATAGTGAAGAAGAGGTGCATGCTGGGTAAAATTAGGTAGTAAAAGTGCTGCGAATTATCTAAGAAAATAAAATTAGTGCTCATTCCAACCAAGCATGGAGAAACAATGTTTCTGCCATAGAAGTGTATAATATGGCATACATAGAATTATCACAGGTCTTCATGAAGTTAAAATAAAAAAGGGCTGGGGTGTGAAAAAGGTACAAAAAAGGGAAGGAAACAGTTAATATATCAGAAATCCATTTCCTGCCTACTGGAGTGACACAAGCAGTGAGAAATCTGACCAAAGGATCGGGATGTGTTCAATATCTATATTGTCTGAAATACATGCAGTTACCTTTGTTCGTCACTAGGTGAGGCCATGATCAGTATGTTGACATATCTTGCACAGATATACATAAAATTAGAATTGAACCAGTAAGAAATGTTCAAGTGTGTGTACGTATCCACTACACAAATGCAGGTATATTCTACAGATCATTAAAGAGACACAATAGGCACCATAACCAATTTAATGGATTAAAGTGGTTTTGTATTCTGGATAGGGATCGACCGATATTGATTTTTAATAGCAGATACCGATAATCTGTGAACTTTGAGGCCGATAGCTTACCGATATTCTGTACATTTACAGTTTTGAGGGAAAAAAATGTTTTGCAAATCTTTTTTTTTTATTAAGTGGTAAATGCACAAAATATACATTTCAAGAATATTTATATGTGTGTGTAGCGGATGCAGTGTATGTTTGTGATAGTGGATGCAATGTGTTTATTTGTGTGTAAATATGTGCAGTAGGAACCTCCCTCCTCTCCCCCCATCCCCCTTAATGTTCCTCTCCCTTATATTTTAGTGCCCCCCCCCACCCCAGTGTTTATTTTCCCTTCCCTGTATCTTAGTGCCCTCCCTTAACGTTCCCTCTCTCTTCCCCTAGTGCAGGGGTAGGCAACCTTTTAGCAGCACTGTGCCGATATAGGATTGTGATGTCCCGTAGCGTGCCGGTCCTATTTTTCTTTTTAAATTGAGGTGTGTATGCTGCCGTATTCTGCTTGTGTTATTTATACTGTGTTACGGTACACCCTGGTATAAGAGGGGTTAATACCGCTGAGGACGTTCCCTTTCCGAATGAAGAAGCAGCTAACAGCAGTTCCAATTAGCCGAACAGAAACCATACGAAATCCTTCACGAACCAAACAGCCGAACGAGTAAATCCAATACCCCCAAGTACGAGACCAAGCTCCGTATTGAGGGTGAAGCAGAGATCTGGTTTATTGAGGGCTACCTGCCCGGTATTTATACAGGTCTCCCACCTGGTGGACACTCCCTTAGGGGACCAGATGGAAGACTGAGACAATGTGGATACAGTAGCTAATCACAGTGGCACAAGCATAAACACTCTCCTTTGATGTAGATAAACCCTCCTCTCTATCCTGGAGATAATTGGGAAGTAATCCAATTATCTCCATGGATAGAGGCTAAAGTCCATTTTGTACCTGAACTTAAAAATACAATAAAATTAATAACTTTACATTACACAAACAGAATCCCCACATTCAACGTATCCCCAGATAGCTGGGATCTGAGCACACATTATTACCGAATGCCGCTCAGATCCTATGCATACAGTTCACTCGCCATGTAGCCAAAGTCTTTCACATTGTCTTTCGTTATATGAACGGGCTGCATGGGATGGCTATCTGGGGTGCGTCTATTAATGCCGGAAAGTGCCGAACGGACCGACGTTCGTGTGCTGGGTGGCAGAGAAGGGAGGTCGGCGGCTTCAGCGGTGTTCGTGCAAAATAGTGTCCGTTTTCAGTTCCATAGTTTGGGCGCTGAACACCGCTGGCCGTTCGGGACTTTAAAATGGCCGCCGCCACGTGGGAGTTACATGAACAGCGACCTCCCAACGCTCACCAATTAAGCTGCGGTTAACCGAAGGATAGACGAAGGAAACGGAATAGAGCATAGTTCCAAGACAGAGGGGTCTGTCACATACTGTAATTGCTTTGTATTGTTGTATCAGTGCGTATATGAGCTATTATATTGTATATGTTCAGGAGTAGTTTGTGGTATTGTGTATGATACATATGAATGTGGGCTGTGTATGGGGGCTGCTTGTGGAATTGTGTGTGTGGATGGATATGTCACATTGTGTGTTTGGTAGTGTGTGTATGTGTGGGGCTGTTTGGGGTATTGCATGTGCAAGGCTGCATGTGGGGTTATGTGCATGTATGTGGATTACGTTTGTGTGGATTGTATATATGTTTGTTTGTGGGCTGTTAGTATTATTTGTATGAGGGGAGGGTTATTGTGCATTTCTGTGTAAATCTAGCAGTGTGGGTGGCTTCCCTGGGTTCCAGTGGGGACCAAGCTGGCCAGGTACAGGTCAAAGACAGGAGCTGCAACAGCAGCTGCAGGCTGCTCTACTACATTGTGGATTCCCATTCACAAGTGTTGGGAGGAAATTATCTGCAATGCATAAATTGAGGATTGTCCTTCACCACCTTTTCGTATTAGCGGATATCTGAAGTTTCACTGGGACTTCTGAGAGGCCAGAGCCTGTTTGGCTGTAGCAGCCTTGAGTGCCGTGCAAAGACACCTGGAGTGCCGTGCATGGCACTAGTGCCATAGGTTTCCTACCCCTGCCCTAGTGGTTCCCCCCCTCCCCTGTCCCATAGTGTTTCCCTCCTCCCCATAGTGTTTTTTCCCCCATAACCATAGTGTTATCCCCTAACCCGGTCCCATAGTGTTGTTTCCTTCCAACCCCTCTCCTCCCCCCGTCCCATAGTGTTCTTTCTATTTCCCCCCCCCTCCGTCCCATAGTGTTCTTTCCTGCCCGCCCCCTCCCCTGTCCCAAAGTGTTCTTTCCCACCCTCCCCTGTCCCATAGGGTTCTTTCCTTCCAACCCCCCGAGTCCCATAGTGTTCTTTCTTGCCTCCCCTCCCGTCCCATAGTGTTCTTTCTTGCCTCCCCTCCCGTCCCATAGTGCTCTTTCCTGCCTCCCCCACATCCCATAGTGTTCTTTCTTTCCTTCCCCTGTCCCATAGGGTTCTTTCCTTCCAACCCGTCCCCCTCCCCCCCGTCCCATAGTGTTCTTTCCTCTCCCCACCCTCCCTTGTCCCATAGCATCCTTTTATCTGTGTAAAATTAATGCAGGACCTGCAGCGGCTGACTCTAGGCACCATAACTATGTCAATTCATAAGAAAAGCTGCACATACAGAGATATTTGACTTTGCTGCCAGAGTGTAACTCCACTTCATAATGTCAAATGGTAGCAACTCCCCCATGCTGCCCAAAGTCCTCTCTGAGAGCTCTCTGCATCACATATAGGAGATTATAGGTTTGTTTTCTCAAACTAGAATACCAAAATGAAAAGGTTGAACAGGGTTATTCACTCAACTCACTCAATTTTTGCAACTTCAATTTGAATGGAAAAACTGTGGAAAAGGCAACAGATTTTGAAAAATTCTACAACTCAGCCACAGTCGCAATTTGGCTATTTTTGGCTCAGTTTCACCATTCAGATTTAATTTGCGAAAATTTGGAGTTTAGTAGATAAACCCTGTAAGTGTGTCATGGATGAGAAGTCAGCAGGGCACGCTATTTACAAATGTCTGGAAAGGAGTCTGCAAGAAGCACCAGGTCATGCTGGCATTAAAACCCAATATGTTTACTCAAAAACAGAATTAATGTCATCCGTAAAGCAAAAATTGCTGCGAGTTAAAGGGACACTGTAGACACTTTAAAAACTTCATTTTATTGAAGTTGTTATAGTGCCTGCAATCCTGCCTCAATTGTCCCACCCCGAAAACCCTTTGGTCCACTAATTAGAGGACTTGGAAGGGCATCTTCAAGCCACGCCTCCAAGCTGTCTGGGTAAGTGAGCTGGGAATCTTACATTCTTACAATCTATACCTTAACATACCATGATATCACGCGCATGCACCGTGTCATCACGTTCTGCCATAGAGAATCCTCGAATTTAATTATTCTCTATGGCAGAATCTTAGGTGCATCGTGGGCTTAAGGTCACTAATGCTGGTGTAGTCCGGGAGACAAACCTCCAGGTTGAGGTAACCTGAAGAGGAGGTTGTGGCAGCGCCGAGGGAGACTCTGTCCTGGAGAAAAGGTGAATCATTTTTTTATTTTATTTTTTAAACTGAGTAAGGGGGACATAATTGATAAGGGGCACCAAGGCTGTAGCATTAGGAATACAGGTATGCATGAACACTACGGTGTTCCTTTCTATAGAGGAATTGTGTATTTTATTCAAATGTTTCACATTTCTCAAAATCTGCAGTTTTTCCAGCAGTTATTTCTGCCTAATATTTCCGCTTACCACGATAATCATCGAAAATTCCTGATTTTATGAATAAACCTTGCGGGGTGTATTTACTAAACATCAAATTGCAGTAAGTTGAAAAGCAAATTGCAAAATGATAGCAACAATAGCCGATTTGTTTAGCGATTTTTATCCTGAATTTGGCAAATCAGTCAAATTAACAGGGTTATCCAATAAAGTGAGAATTCAAAGTTAAATTCAAATGTAAGTTAAAAATAGCTGAACTGGAAACAATCTCTAAATCTGCTATTTTGGACCTAAATTTAAAATTTACTTTGAATTCCCACATTAGTGAATAACCTTGTAAGTGTTTTAGTTAGCTAGCGCACAGAGTTATTTACCTATAAATAAACTGGAAACTGTCACAAACTGAAAGAGGATAAAGGAGTTTAAATAGCAATATGTAATTCCCTTATTTAATCTCAAAATGTTATAGTTTATGCCGGTAATAAGTCCCTTTGAAGAGGTCAGTCAGAACAATGAAAGAGATAAGAGTTTTATACTAGCGCTCTATTAAG